TTGATAAGGAGACCACTACTGCATGGTAGTTGATATGGCCCTATGTTGGAAGCTTGTTTAACCCTTTTCATACCAGATGGGTGTCATTCGCATCCCTTGATTTTTTTTCCTTCATACAGTTGCAATTCTTAATAAAACAGCATGAATCTAAGTAAAAACCTACTAAGTATTAACTAGCTTTGGCATTAAGAAATCATATAATAATAGTATTTATTTTTGTTTCAGAAATTAATTTTTTTTTATTGTTGATCATAAAACTTCATCTTACATACATCCAGTTGATTTGAAATTTATACTTATATTTTTTCAATTTTATTTTGGTAAGTGCAGTAGTAACCACTTCTGGCTGTCAATTGTAAAAACAAACAAACAAAAAAATTGCATGAACTGACAAAGATTTACTTGTGATCTACAAAATGACATGTCATCAGGTCAGGACAACAAAAATTTACTTGTGATCTACAAAATGACATGTCATCAGGTCAGGAAAACAAAGATTTACTTGTGATCTACAAAATGACATGTCATCACGTCAGGACAACAAAGATTACTTGTGATCTACAAAATAACATGTCATCAGGTCAGGACAACAAAGATTTACTTGTGATCTACAAACTGACATGTCATCAGGTCAGGACAACAAAGATTTACTTGTGATCTACAAAATGACATGTCATAAGGTCAGGACAACAAAGATTTACTTGTGATCTACAAAATAACATGTCATAAGGGCATCAGGTCAGGATCAGGACAGAACAATATTCTTTGCTAAGATCAACTTACATCTAATAAATATTCTTTTCGATAAAATGTACTTTTTTTTACTTATGTACATTATTGTTTGAATATTATAAACCTACCAATTCTATACAATACATAAAGACTTGAATTGCAATTGAGTCATCAGAATACTTTGTCATTGTTTAGCATAATCTCCAAAACCTAACTAAACTAAGTTCCTGTTTTGTCATAAAAGAAAATTTCTGCAGTTTGAAACAAATATAATTTAAATTGGAAACATATTTATCAATGAAAAGAAAACACAAACATTTCTCAAATTGTGGTTTGTTCCAACGTTTTCTAGTTTTCTCACCAAATTCTGTTATTCTTCTCAGTGAGATGTTCATCTAATAAGTCTTCTGCACAATCACAAGTTATGTCTTAAAGAACATTATTCACAGAACCATTTTGAAAGATACAAATGAAACAAATCTGTGTTGTTTACAGGCGAGACTCTTGGAAACTGTGCAGAAACCAAGTAATATTTTTTTCTATTTTATTTGCAAATTACACTAAATAAATATTATAAAATGACAAATTATCAATTTTAAAATATTTTAAGTAATATGTTGATAAAATAATTAGAATTAATATTTTTACTTAATTTTTGAAATTTAACACATGTTTCACTCAACATCTGAAAGGTGGTCACTGGTTCCAGATAAGGTTAATGAACAGTGAGATGGATACTCCAATCATTCACCTTAGAATATGGCAGAGTTAAAGGTGTTAATTCTTGAGTGGATGCAAAAAAAGGTGTGGCTGGTTTTCTTTGCATTTGTCCAGTCAGTTGCTAAATATTCTTATTTTGGCATTGATGTGCTTCCATACATTTTGTTTGGCTTCTCCAATCTCGTTATAATCCTTCTGTACTTCTTTGATGTTCTTTCGTACTTCATTGTTATAATAAACTTTTTTACTTGTGGATGTGTTTTAGTACTTCTCTTTCTACTACATTGATGATCCATAGTATAATTCTTATTACTTCCTTAAGCTTGCCTTGACTCAAATTGTTTTTCCTTTGTAATTCTTCTATAAATCTTATGCCTCATTCTCATAATTTCTATCCTATATTTCTCTTTCTTTCTTCTTTATTTTCTTTGAATTTTCAGCAACCTGCTTTATGATCTTGACATTTGGTCTCTTTTTCTCTTGATCTTTGTGGTTTCTTTTTAATCTACTTTTTTTGTTTCCTCTCATTTCTGTCCTCCTTTTATTCTCTTCTAATTTTCTTCCTGATCTTGTTTCAACTGCTTACCACCCCCCATTAAATTCTTATCTTGTTTAAAGCACATGTTAATTTAAACTGGATTCTATTTTATTTTTACCAAATTAATCACATTTCCAACACCACTATTGTAATGGCATCTATCACTGGATTATTCAACCCATGTAATGATAACCAATTTTTATTCCTTGATCTTATAGTTCTACAACTTATAAATAATTACTGATAGGCCTATTTCACAGAGAAATAACAACTCACTAAAGTCGATTTACCAATTTTCACTGAGTATTTATTACTTTATTGATATACAGACTCAAAAATTAATAACCCCTCCGACCTATTCTTCTCTAACATGCATTTTATACAACTAAATTTTTCCCAAAACTGAAGAAAACTTGAGATATCACACACTCATTACAACTGTCTCTAGCAAAGAATAATAATATCTAAATTAAAATAATAAAAACATAGCCTACAACAATAAAATGGAAATCATACCAAACTACTCCTATGTTCTGTAACCAATTCCTCAGGCTTGATACATACAAAAACACCCATGTTTTGTCACTGATATTTTAAACTTGACATCATATCAAAGTTGTGTTCTGCCACTCATTCCTTAATTAGTAAAAACCAAATGAAAACACCCACATTCTGTCATTCCTTATAAAACTAAGAAAATAATTATGTTCTGTAATTGATTTATTCTGACATTGTATGAAAATTGAACTTAGTGTTTTGTAACAGATTCATTACAGAAGCACAACATCATATGCACATTAAACACGTGTTTTATCACTGATTACTTAGATATTCACAACATATGAAAATTAAATGTTTTGTCTTTGATTCCTTATGATGAGCTTCACACCAGATGCATATTAAACTCCTGTATTGTCACCAACTCCTAAAATAAGCTTAACATCACATGAAAACTGAAATTTTATCACAAGCTTCTAAAAAAAACTTGACTCCATATGAAAATTATACCTATATTCTATCACCAATTCCTTATGTAAGCTCAATACCATATGCAAGTTATCCAGTGCTAATTTCACCTAACTTCCTACTGCAGCATGAAATGTAAAACTTAACAATAGTTACCAAAACCGTATACTAGTTTTCATCTTACATACTCAAATTGTTCATTATTTCCTCATTAATAAAATTTGTAAATTAGATAAAAATTCACAAGGAACAACTATAAAATTTTTATGAATGATGTTTTTTTATCATGTTTTATGAATGACATGTTTTTATCAATTTTTATGAATATCGTTTTTCATCAAATTTTATGAATGACATGTTTTTATCAATTTTTAAGTAAATCGATGCAGAAGTTCTCAGAGTTACAACATTTCCTTGATTCTACATAACAAATGCTCCATAAATAAAAATGTTTAAAAATTTAATGATTTAATTTATATGCTAGAGAAGTTAGCACTGGCCAAAACACGGGCTCTCTCTAAGGGCTGCTAGAACAAATAAATAAATAAAAAGTTTGAAAAGAAGGTTTTCATTTGAATTATTTATCTTTTAAGTTTGTTAAGCATACACATTTTACTGTTTGACCTCTGGAACCAAGTGCTTTTGCTCTTTTAAATATACTATTTTCTCTTTATTACGATTATACACACAACCCCTTTCACCTTCACCATACATTCAAGAGTTTGTGACCTTGAATTAAATAAATGCCTTCCACATTTCTATTTTCTAGAGACACACTTCTTCAGTCAGGACTGGTCAACTTTCATGACCACCCTTTTCATTTTTATTACCTCACACTTTTTAATCTTTGCCCTTTTTACTCCTGAAGAAGATTAGTCAACTATTCAATAGTGTTCAAGTTTTTTAAATTATTTTATGTAGCAGTAAAACCTGCATGTAAAACTATGTACTTTTGTGAAAAACGGTTAAAGAGTTCATAGATCAAGTACACCAAGCTATATATACATATGTAAACTAAAAGTTAGCATTATAGATTCAAATTTTAGAATCATAACTTTGAAAATTTTAGTTTTCTGTCAATTTTTTAAACCCAGTAAACAGAAGCAAGTGGAATGTTGAATTTGCCAAAGAAATTCATAACCTTGTTAAAAATACTGATTAAGAAACTTTTTTTAAGTAAATGTTTATGAAACATGCCCTCAAAATACCATAATGGGAACAAATGATAAACTATGATGACTAAGTACTGTAAAAAAACTAATATATATTAAACTGAAAGTACCCAAATACTTAACCAATGATACTTATGTGTGTCCAAATAATGTGCATGATTTTTAATTAAAGAACTACCAGGTGAGTTTCAGTACATAAGCAAGTTTAGCAGCGTGCTGGAAATCAGAATAAAAATTATCATCACTACAATAACAGCTTTTCTTCCAAAATTCAAGTTTAAGTAGGCCTAAATAGAATTAAACGACAGTGCCAGTACAGTTGTTTATTTTACATGCACTTAACTCATCAAGTTATCTGAGTTTGTAAGTAAAATAATTTACAACTTAACCAACATAACTAAAATTTGATCACTGCTTTGCTTATACAGTTATGAACCAAGACTTATTCTTGGTGCTGAATGGCAAGACTTGCAACACAGAAAGGTACTAAATACATATTAAAATATGCAAACTGTTGCATGACATATTTTTAAAGCTTAATTATTCTACAGGTGAATTTCTCAATGGTAAGCTACTTTTATAAGTTCAAATGTATTTTATAATGTTTCAGATGTAATTTTCATACTAGTGTTACTACAAACTATTCTTTTTAATGGCAAAACTGGACTTCATTGATAGAAGAAACAGAATTTTATCTGATTGAAGCTTTTTTTCTCATTTTAACTCTTTCAAAATAGTATGGTTCCAAACTTACAAATATTGACATTTTTTAAGTGAACTAAAGGCAAACACATCTTTACTCTTTACATAAAAAATGTTCTTTTAACATTCAACTTTTTGCCAAATAGTATGGATAACTAAATACAAACAACTGCAAAGTAGCAGAGTACATTTTATTGTGACAAAACCATTATAATGATTTTTTTTCATACAAGCATTAAAAGAAAACAACATGAATATTCCCCAGCTAGAAGCAAACAGAACACAACTAAAGAAAGACTACTTGGAAAGTTAGCCCTAACCTTAATGAAAATGATGATGTCTTTAGAGTAATTCTAAGTAAGTTCTACTGTCAAACATTTTTCTTTGTAGCTCATAAATTTGACAAACTACATAAATGTTAGTGATTATGATACACATTACTACACGATAGTTCTAGGACACGCTTCTTTCTCATTTCACCTTTGTTTACACGCAGTTAATCTATGTAAAATTATTTATAATAAATGACGAAAACAAAAGACAATCGATTATTAATTCAATGTACGTTACATGGAAGTTTCATTCAAATTCTATTATAATTTGACCAAACAGAAACGGAGTTGTTTAATCCTACTATAAGTTGTTCGAATAGAAATAGAGACAGCGTTTTTTAAGTTGTTCAAGTAAATATCAGGTTAATCGATACACGTATAAGTTGTTTAAAGACAGGCGCGGTTGTTCACGTAGACGGAGTTGTTTAATCCTGCTATTAGGTTTTTCAGAGACGAAGAGACGAGGCTGATTAATTTGATTCTAAGTTGTTCAAAAAGAAACAAGGGTTTTTAATTCATTAAGTCGTTCAAACAGCGGCAATTAATCCTGCTATTTAGGTGTTGAAAGAGACGGGGTTGTTTCCAAAGTCATTTTCGATCCACGGTATGACAAGACGGCACAGTCGGCACACGTTCAGAAATAAAAAGTCTTCATAACGGAAGTCGAGACGGCAAAACACGGATGTCGCTGCGGGAATAGAACCGATATTATTGACGTTTATTTTTGGCTGAGCGAATTATCAAGTTTGAAATGAAATACAAATTAACAGTATTGACAGCGATTTAGAAGGTCCAAGATTAACTTTTGTATACAAAAAAATAAAAATATGTAAGAGTATACAATAACAATAGCTCAAAAACTGTATTGTGCTGAATTTAAGATTAAATGGTTAGAAACTGAGCAAGTTTTCTGCATGTCGAGTTTTTGAGAATGTTTCGAAGCTTTTGTGAGACGATCAATCAAGCAAATATCTCAACACGGAGTATTAAAAACCCATAACTTCAAACATATAATGGAAAACCCTATACAAATTAACTGGTACTTTATGATTTTACTAATCGAAAAAACATTGAGTATTTAATGCATGTCTACAAATCAATCACATGCATAAAATGGGAGAAGCGTGTATTTCTTGTGGTTGGTCCAAGTCTGTATGATCTATTAAGAATTGTATAGGTTTGAACAGAGAAATAGAGTAGTGTATTACCTGTCTCAGCATACAAGTTGCTCTTTCACCACATGTTTGGAGACCTACTAAAGAACACAAAATAATGTGACTGATTCTCTAAATACAATGGTATATTTTTCACTAATAAACAGTGGGGTAGCTTTATATCAATTGTATACTATTAATGACTTGCATATCTTTCTCACACACAAAAAAGGCACACATTTAGTAGGTGGAGTAGATTTTTTTTTTTGCTAAACTAATAATATATTTTCAATAATACACATTGTACTTGGTTTTAACACTATCATTGATGATTGAGAGTGAGAGCAGCTGGCCTTGTCTACAGGATGACTCTTAAATAATTTATATTCTTAAATGTTACATACACTAAAAATATCATTTGGAATTTTTAAATGATATAACTGATGCCAAAAAAATTATCATCAACAACAAGAATCCAATTCTCCAAGTTCCAATTTTAAATAGTGAACTAATTCCAGAAACTAAGTTAAACTTCTTAAATAGTTAATATTTCATTTACACTTTAAAAAGATACCTCAATATGCATACAGTCTATAATAATTTAGTTGTAAACCTTCAACTATTGAATAAATTTATTCAAAAAACAAAAGTTACTAGAGTACGTAGATCAAGATTGGAGATGAATGGTGCTGTTGGAAACAATACCTTTTTCATACCTCTACTAAATTGTAACAACAATGTGACATTCTGAAATTGTGCTATATGTCAATAATTTAAATAATACTAATAGCATTGTCTAGAGATTTATGCCAGTTAAAATGAGGTTTGTACTTCTGGATTTAGAGGGCTACTTCATATTTTCTTTCCAAGAAAGTCATAGCAATGACAGAACCTGAATTTGTAGAGGCATACGAGGATAAAGTGTGTTCATTATGCTCTCCATATATCTTTGTAGCTTGTCAGAGTTAAGTGGTGGCTTCTCAAACAGTACAGGTTCCCAAGATTTTTTTTTATGAACTGTTTGTTTCATTTAAGTAGAAGAGGTTGATATGAATTATAGTCATTCCTAGTTTTTGTGTAGTTCATAATAGTAGTCTTCTTTCATTAACTGGTTTTATTATAGCATCACTTATGCTTGGTGTATTCAAAGCAACTTTCCTGAATTGGGTAGGGTTTTTGTGATGTTTTGATTTATATGCTACTTTTATTATTTTTCTTTCTTTGAAGTCTAAGATTTTTGTCAGTGAAGAATGTTGGATACCTGGTGTTGTAAAGAATAATTATATAGTCTAATTTTCTGTCAATCATTTCTGGTTCATGGTTGCATCTGTGCTCAATCCTATGTAGTTCTCAAAGAATGAATCACTGTTTCATAACAAAAGGTTGATGGCTATCATGATGTGAGGTGATGGGTTTTGTGCTAGGAGAAATTAATCATTTACTTTCATTACAATAGTATTAAACACATGCATGCATTATAAACATGAAGTTTCCTGCAGTTATTTGTTGTTTACTTTCATTACAATAGTATTAAAACACCTGCATGCATTATAAACATGAAGTTTCCTGGAGTTATTTGTTGTTTACTTTCATTACAATTGTATTAAAACACCTGCATGCATTATAAACATGAAGTTTCCTGGAGTTATTTGTTGATTGTAATGAAAGTAAAAGTATTAAACACCTGCATGAATTATAAACATGAAGTTTCCTGGAGTTATTTGTTGTTTACTTTCATTACAATGGTATCAAACACCTGCATGCATTACAAACATGAAGTTTCCTGGAGTTATTTGTTGTTTACTTTCATTACAATGGTATCAAACACCTGCATGCATCATAAACATGAAGTTTCCTGGAGTTATTTGTTGTTTACTTTCATTACAATGGTATCAAACACCTGCATGCATTATAAACATGAAGTTTCCTGGAGTTATTTGTTGTTTACTTTCATTACAATGGTATCAAACACCTGCATGCATTACAAACATGAAAGTTTTATTGGAGTAAGAGTGAATGTATATTTTCAATAAAATGGTATTACAGCTCCTACAAACATGACAAGTAACCTGAAGTTAGTGGTTGTTTACTTTTAATAAAATGGTATTATACTTCCAGTAAGCAGTATAAATATCCAAAATTGATGCATTTAACTATTTTTCAAGTTAATCTCACAATGTGCTGATTGAGATGTTTTGTCATTTTATGCTGTTGTGCTTAATTTAAGATTGATCATTCTGCTAGTTAGCACTACAAACAATAAGCAGGACTTCAGAAGATATTTATTAACTGATATTTTAAGTTGAAAATTAACAAACTGACTTGTAATACATTAGTTCTTAAGTAGCACAAACTCAAAAGTAGATATCTTGGACTCAAAAAAGGAATATAATGTAAAATAAATAAGAAGTTCCAGCCATGTGTTCTAAATATTTCATGTTACTATCAAAAATCTTGACTTCATTTTAGCAGATGTGTGTGTTTATAAAACACTATACACTACTACAAAGTAGTAACTTACTATATAGTCATTTAGAGATTAATAAATATATAGAAACCAGGAAAAGGAAATTGTTCTATACCTAATTTTTCAGATGAAAATTAAAAACTCATTCAGCCATTTAACCACTCCTAAGACAATTCATGCAAAAGTTGAAAATTCTAAGCAATGCGTTATATATATATATATATATATATATAT